AGTTGCTCTGGACTTGGCTGTTACTGCTACAGGCCTGGCCACACCCGACCCGGCTGCTCTGGGCCCGGTTGCTCCGGGCCCGGCCGTTCCGGGCCTGGCTGCTCCCAGCCTGTCAGCCGCTGCTCCGAGCCTGGCCACTCCCAGCCTGGCAGCCACTGCTCCGGGCCTGGCTGCACCAGACCCGGCTGCTCCGGGCCTGGCTGCTCCCAGCCTGGCAGTTGCTGCTCCGGGTCTGGTCACTGCCACTCCCGACCTAGTTGCTCTGGACTTGGCTGTTGCTGCTACAGACCTGGCCACACCCGACCCGGCTGCTCTGGGCCTGGTTGCTCCGGGCCCGGCCACTCCGGGCCTGGCTGCTCCCAGCCTGTCAGCCGCTGCTCCTGGCCTGGCCGCACCAGACCCGGCTGCTCCGGGCCTGGCCGCTCCCAGCCTGGCAGCCGCTGCTCCGAGCCTAGCCACTCCCAGCCTGGCAGACACTGCTCCGGGCCTGGCCGCACCAGACCCGGCTGCTCCGGGCCTGGCCGCTCCCAGCCTGGCAGTCGCTGCTCCGGGTCTGGTCACTGCCACTCCCCACCTAGTTGCTCTGGACTTGGCTGTTACTGCTACAGGCCTGGCCACACCCGACCCGGCTGCTCTGGGCCCGGTTGCTCCGGGCCCGGCCACTCCGGGCCTGGCTGCTCCCAGCCTGTCAGCCGCTGCTCCTGGCCTGGCCGCACCAGACCCGGCTGCTCCGGGCCTGGCCGCTCCCAGCCTGGCAGCCGCTGCTCCGAGCCTGGCCACTCCCAGCCTGGCAGACACTGCTCCGGGCCTGGCCGCACCAGACCCGGCTGCTCCGGGCCTGGCCGCTCCCAGCCTGGCAGTCGCTGCTCCGGGTCTGGTCACTGCCACTCCCCACCTAGTTGCTCTGGACTTGGCTGTTACTGCTACAGGCCTGGCCACACCCGACCCGGCTGCTCTGGGCCCGGTTGCTCCGGGCCCGGCCACTCCGGGCCTGGCTGCTCCCAGCCTGTCAGCCGCTGCTCCGGGCCTGGCCGCACCAGGCCCGGTTGCTCCGGGCCTGGCCGCTCCCAGCCTGGCAGCCACTGCTCCGGGCCTGGCCGCACCAGACCCGGCTGCTCTGGACCCAGTTGCCCCAGGCCCGGCTGCTCCGAGCCTGGCCGCACCTGGGCTGGATGCTTTGGGCTTGGCTTCTGCTGTTCTGGGCCTGGCTGCTCCCAACCCGGCTGCTCTGGGCCCGGCTTCTTCGGGCCCGGCCACTCCGGGTCTGGGTGTTCCTGGACTGGCCACCCTGGGCTTGGCCGCCTCTTCCTCAAGCCTGGCTGCCCCTGCCCCAGGTCTGGCTGCTCCAGTGCTGGCCGTTGATGCTCTGGTTCTGGCTGCTGCTGCTCTGGGGCCTGGCCACTGCTGCTCTGGGCCCGGCTGCCACTGCCTTGTGCCTGGCCACTCTAGGCCTGGTCGCCGCTGTTCCAACATTCTGTCCCTTTTTCTTTCTTTCTTACTTTCTTTTTTTAAAAAAACGCATTTATGTTGCAATGTTGGCTGGTGAGTTGAGTTCTGACTTAGTCTTTGATTTTTCAAGATATACTTTGCATTCTTTCTTAAGTAATTTTACTATCATTTGCTCTCACTTGATTTCTTCACATTGAGAACTTCTATTGTTTCTTCCTTCCCGTCCTGGAATCTCAGCAGGTTGGCCTGTGGCACCCCTTTGTTCTCCGCGGGCTCCTGCGCTGCTTCAGCCTGTCGCTGGGGTTGGCGCCGCCCAGGAAGCATCCCCGGTCCTTGGCTCTGTTGCCTGTGCTCAGCGGTCGAAGGCTCAGGGGCACCCCCCCGCCTGGAGGCCCCGGCGCCCGGCTCCTTGCTGGCACCCGGCTGGCAGGTGTCCAGCGCTGGCTCCTGCTCCTAGTCACGATCCTCCAGTCTGGAGCTTTCTTTCTCTCTCCCGCTAGGGGAGTCCAGGATCAGAGTCAACAGACTGTCCTCTGCGCGCAGTGTGCGCGACTCCGGGGGCTCGGCCTTTCGCCGCGCTCCCAGGACTCCACCTCACAGCCCCGTCTCCCCCTGCCCAGCCTGGGTCCCCAGGGACTGGCCCAGACCGGGAGTTCGGGGCTGTCCGGTCTGAGGCTCAGCGCCGCCGGAGGCTTTGTTTCTTCTGGCTAGGGTAATCCAGCATCAGAGTCAACATTCAGTCCTCTGCGCACAAAGCGCGCGACTCCGGGGGACCCCGCCTTTCGCGCCGTCCCCGGGATTTTGCCTCACAGCCCCATCTCCCCGTGCCCGGGCCCGGGTCCCCAGGGACTGGCCCAGACCGGGAGTTCGGGGCGCTCCGTTCTGAGGCTCAGCGCCGCCGGAGGCTTTGTTCCTTCCGGCTAGGGTAATCCAGCATCAGAGTCTACATTCAGTCCTCTGCGCACAAAGCGCGCGACTCCGGGGGCCCCCGCCTTTCGTTTTTCCCCTGGGATTCAGCCTCCCAGCCCCGTCTCCCCCTGCCGGAGCCTGGGTCCCCAGAATCTGGCCCATAATGGGGCTCAGCGCTGCCAGTTCGGGGGTTCAGCCCAGGCTGGGGGTTTCATTTCCTTCCTGCTAGGGAATGCCAGGCAGCACCCAGCCCTCTCCTCCTCTCCGGCTGCGACCTCTCGGTGCGCGCGAACGTGCGAGCGCGCAGCATGTCTCCGTACCTTAGGCTCTTTTTTCAGCTCCTCTGACTTTCCCTCTGGCTTTCTCCCACCTTCCTATTGTAGAGTTTTCAGTCAGTCGACCACCTGTATGTCTGGGCAATGTCCACTCTACATTTTAGTTGTATTCCATTGAAATTGTTGTGAGCTGCTGCGGTTAGGTGTCTACCCGAGCAGCCATCTTGGATCCTCTCCGCTTTTTCTTTTTTTAAAAACATGTTTTTATTGATTTTAGAGAGAGAGGAGGGAACACTTTCTTTTTAAAAAGTGTTTCTGCCCTCGCTGGTTTGGCTCAGTGGATAGAGCGTCAGCCTGTGGATCTGAAGGGTCCTCGGTTCAATTCCAGTCAGGGCACATGCCCAGATGGCAGGCTCAGTCCCCAGTAGGGGGCAAGCAGGGGCAGCCTATCAATGATTCTCTCTCATCATTGATGTTTTTCTTTCTACCTCTCCCTTCCTGTCCGAAATCTGGTTTAATAGTGCTGTGAGGAAAGAGAAGTAAGTGCTAAGTCTCAGAGCACCATCCATGTTTAATTTTTATTGACTCCAGTTGTCCTCTATAAACGTTAGACAAATTTATGTTTCCCCAATGCCTTCAGTTTTAGCAAACTTCTCAATTGTTGCCATTCTCATAGTGAAATAATTAAATTAGAATTTTAATATACATTTCTTATGAGTAAGGTCAGACACTATTATTTATGGTATTTTTTTTCCTGTGCAGGAAAACATTGAAAATTTTGTATTGTAAGAATTATATCAATTTATTTTTGACTTATGGGTTTGTTATTCTGCTTGGAAGGCTTTTCCTTCTGAGATTATTTTTTCCATTTTCTTCTAATATTTTACGTTTAACATTTGATCCTCCTGGAATTTAGTCTAAAGAATCAGGTGGGAATCCAACTTTATTATTTTTTAAATATATATTTTATTGATTTCTTACAGAGAGGAAGGGAGAGGGATAAAGAGTTAGAAACATCAATCAGCTGCCTCCTGCACACCCCCTACTGGGGATGTGCCTGCAACCAAGGTACATGCCCTTGACCAGAATAGAAGCTGGGATCCTTCAGTCCACAGGCTGATGCTTTATCCACTGAGCCAAACCGGTTAGGGTGGAATCCAATTTTATTGGTTGGCTGGCCAGTTATCCCGTCTCTTTCCCTCTTGTGAATGCTTTCTTTTATCAGGTACAAGTGAACTTCCCGCGTGTGTGTGTGTGTGTGTGTGTGTGTGTGTGTGTGAGAGTGAGAGTGAGAGTGAGAGAGAGAGAGAGAGAGAGAGAGAGACTTTTTATACATTGTTGACATTTTTTGCATTTAGTTGTTGCCTTTTCATTTTCCAGAATTAAACTATTTACTGGCATCTGGGACTTCCTCCTCCACCTTCTCCTGGCTCTTTTCTTCCATATTACTTTTATTTATGAATTTTATATTAGATTGTTTAGGTATAAAATTAAACTCCTAGTGTAAAAAATATATGTGTGTGTATTAATCTAGGGAAGATTTCATCTTTAATTATGGTCTCCAAGCACTGATATATGCCTTTTTATACATTAAATTCTTTCTTTCCTTTCAGTATTTAAGTTTATATTAATTTTAGTACTTACTGCATTTTCTAATATCAAAACTCGAGTGTTTCTTTAGGAATAATAATCTCATCTGTCAGTGATTATTTACATCTTCCTAAATTTTTATGTGTCTTATTTTTTTATACTGGACTGTCTGTCCTATTACACTTTTTTGAATGTTCTAATAACTCCAACATCTCAGAAGCCCTGAGCTCACTTCTGGGGGTTTCTGTTGCAGGCACATGCTGATCAAGAAGCTCAGCCAGCTGAGAGAGAGTGAGCCTGACCTGGCCCAGCTGCTTGCCGATCAGGTGAGTCTCCTGGAGGCTGGCTGAGAGCGTGAGAACAGAGGGCTGCCCGTTCTGTGAGCCTGCACCTGGCTCTGAGGTTGGACAGCCGGCCGTTTCCTCTAAAACCCTATTTGAAGAAGGAAAGCTCTCTTCCTTCCTTCTCTCCAATTAAAGTTTCCCTGAGTTGGAGCTAGGACAGGCCCCATCCCATAACAAGGTTACACCTGCCTTTCAGATCTATGAGAACGCCATGATTGCAGCAGGGCTGGTCGATGACCCCCGACCCATGGTGGACCGCCTGAACAACCTGCTGGTCAAGGCCCTGGAGCGACACTGATGTCTGGGCCCTGCTGTCCAGGGGGCAGCGGTGAGAGCCCACACCCTCCCTGCACTGTCCGGGCTCCGGGAAGTGACAGTGGAACTGTGCTCTGTCGTGGGAGGAGCGCGGGAAGGAATGACTGGATGCCACCAATGAGAACACCCCCTTTTGAGCTTTATTTACTTAAATTAAAAGATGTTTCTTCATCTAAATGCTGGGCTTGGTGTGCATACTGACAGGGTAAGTTACAACCCCATGCTGACATGGATGCAGGACAGTGAGAAAAGGCCTACTTTCCATCCTCTTCCTCAAGCTGGAATAGTGGTCAGGGGGGCAGTAGGGAGGGGAGAGAGGGGCGCTGGCCCTGTGCTCAGGGAACTCGCACTGGTTTCCTAAACTCCTTCCCCAGAACCTGAAGGTGAGAACAGCACCAGCCGCCGTTCTCAGTCCCTTGTGCAGGTCCCCAGCAGCAGCCACCGGCCAGCGAGAGCAGCTGAGGTCGGGCGGGGCCCCGGCCTGCTCTCGTCAGGCTCTCTTCAGCGTCACCTCCACGGGGTAGTGGTCACTGATGGCTTGGGCCTGTGGAGAAACATGCAGTGAGCAGAGGGGTGCCCTGTGCAGGCCTCCCTGAGGGCCAGGACCTGCACCCCATCCTGCACTGTCTCATCCTGGGAGGAGGCTCCCAGGCTGCGGACAGTGGTCCTTTCAAGTCAGTGAAAAGAGCAGCGGCTGCTACGAGTCCCATTGGTCCGGATCTCACTCCGCCCCTCGACCGAGGCCCCCAGTAGAGCTCCAGGCTGAGAATGGCGGCCTACCGTCTGGTTGCTCAGTCCGTATGCAGCTTGGAAGTCAAAGGGACCAGCGGAGTCGGGAACAATGGCATTCTGGAGCAGAGTACCGGTGACCACAATCCTGCAGTGCCAGACACAAGGAAGTCCCCCGCTGTCCAGCTCTGTGCACTTCAACCTCAGCTCCCATCTGGCCTCTATGGCCCCTGGGTGTCACTACTCAGGGAAGGCACCCCAGCCCCACCTAGGCCAGCCTTGTACCTGGCCAGGCTCAGGTCTGAGTGTGCCAGAGACCGCCCAGAGGAGACTAGCTTTGTGTTACCCTACGTGGCTTTTCCGAAAGTTAAGGAATGCTGCTTATTCTACTTCAAAAGTGGTCCAAAGCTCAGGAGGGTGAGTCTCCTCAAAGGTCTAGGGAACCATTTTTGGAGCCGGGCTGAGATGAAAACCCAAGCTGCTTGTGGAAGTGCCCCTTCCCACCCTGGGCCTGCAGGACCCACAGCGCAGGTCTGCTCACCTGTCGTAGGCGCAGTGCGTGGACGTGACCGTGGTGTCGGCGGTGTCGGGGATCAGCCACTGGAAGGTGGGGGTTGTGCGCAGACGGATGGACGACCAGTGCGAATGGGTCACGTAGCTGCAGCCAGCGTTGAAATCACCCATCAGCATAATGTCCTGCCGGGAGACACCAGCTGATTGGCCAGGGACAGCACGGGGCCCTAAGAGCGCAACCCCATGTGTGGGCCTCACCTCCAAGCCCCACTTCTGCCGGACGTCCAGGTAGACATCGTACAGAGAGTCGATTTCAGCCACTGCATCCTGTGGGGCCGCATGCAGGGGGACGATGGCAAACTCCTTGACCGCTGTGGAGAAGGGGGTCGTGCTAAGCAAGGGGGTGGGCGCGCGGTGCTCCCAGGGTGCACTGGCCCGGCTGTTGTGTGTTTAGGGCTGGGAGGGGGGACGGGTAGTGAGGGGTGGGTAGACTCTAAGTAACTTAAATGTAAGACCAAAGCACTAGGAATGGGGATGGCACCCAGCTCCCCACAGAGGTGCATGGTGGGGGCACGTGCTGTGGCTCTCACGGGGTCTGGGAAGGCAGGGAGGGCCGTGGCCGGGCAGGGCAGAGGAGCCTCTGGCAGCAGCACTCACTGGTGAATGGGGAGGAGAACCTGACAACGGCTGGCTCTCGGCTGAAGGTATCATTCCCACAGGGCTCGCAGCCGTCGTCATACAGGTAGCTGTCCAGCACCGACACCTGGTCAGGCCTGCAGAAGGCCAGCCAGAGGGAGCTTAGCCTGGGGCTGGGGGCTCTTGCCAAACCCACCTGTTGCTGTGGGCATGGTGCCCGGTCTAAGTTGGGGCAGCACACAGAACCAAGCCCAGAGCTCCTTTCGCCCAGGTGGTGAGGCCCAACTCAGCCCCTACTCTGGCCGCCACTTCTTGCCCCACACCTGGACTTCCGCCAGCGGCCTAGGGGCGGGGCACCTGGGTTTTACCTGAACACAAAGAGGTAGCGCTCCTTGTAGGTGCTGCGACCCAGCGGCTCGCTGACTATGTAGTGGTAGGCGCTGGGGTCATCCCTAGGCGGAGGAACAAATGTGCCCCTTAGGGGCCACCCTGCCACCTCCAGCGGCTCCTGCCCACATCAGTGTCCCTGGGGCCCAAGTGGGCTCATGCCCTGAAGGGTGATCGCTGTCCCCATGTGCTTCCCCAGGGCCCTGCCACCTCACGCACTGATTGAGTCTGTCCAGCAGCTTCCCCACGGCCGTCAGGTGGCTGTCTCTGACCTCCTGGACCAAGGCAATGTCATAGCGACTCAGGATCTAAGGACAGGGCCACAGTGGTGCCGAGTGCAGGTTAGACGGAGACTGGGGTGTCCAGGCCCTGCCCACTCCAAGTCCCTGCAGGAGCCAAGCTCAGGATGCTTTCACATCAGGTGGTGATAAGGGCCCTGTCCCCACAGCTGACTGGGCTGAGAGCAGGGGCCTAACAGTCTGGTTGCCTTCAGGACTGAACACTGGCCTGGACCTACCTGCACGATGTAGTTGGAGAGGGTATCATTAGACATCTTGGTCTCCCCAAAAGTCCGGATGTTGAAGGCTGCTATTCTCAGGGGCAGGACCACGTGCAGCACCCCAGTCAGGGTGAGCAGCACCCCCATCAGCCTGGCTCCCTTCATTCTGGAGGAGGGACATTGGCATGTGGGTCTGGATTAGAGAAGACTGTGCCCCATCTTCCCTCAGTTCAGCCACTCAGGGCTGGTGGAGCCCAAGGCTGAGTAACTGACTTCATGGGAGTCCCAAGCAGCCAGGAGCGCCTCCACCCTCTGGCCACACGCTGAGAGCGAACCTGGGTCCTCTCACCCCTCCACCCACCGGAAGAGAAGCCCTGAAGGGTCCTCAGCCTGAGGCGGCGCTCGGGCCAGTGGGACATGGCTCCCTGCCCTCCCTGCTCCAGGCACCGTCTGGCCAGCGAGCCTCCCAGCGTGGCCAGTCACCCTGAGGGACCCCACAGGCCTGTGGGCTTAGTGCCTGCCCGCCAACGGGCCACAAGTCACACAGCTTTTTTTTTTTTTTTTTTTTTTTCCAATATATATTGATTTTTTTTACAGAGAGGAAGGAAGAGAGAGAGCCAGAAACGTCGATGAGAGAGAAACATCGACCAGCTGCCTCTTGCACATCCCCTACCGGGGATGTGCCCACAACCAACATACATGCCCCTGACCGGAATTGAACCCGGGACCTTTCAGTCCGCAGACCGACGCTCTACCGCTGAGCCAAACCGGTTTCGGCAACAGCTCTTGAGACTAGACACACTCACCTGAAATGGAACTTCTACCAAAGGTGATGGTATGCTGCCAAGAACCAGGAATTGATATTCTTTGGTATCAGTTTTCTCCTTTGGTTCCTTTAAGAAAATAAAAATGAGTTGCAGAGGGAAGTGTATTCAGAAACACAGCTGAGAGGCCCTCGCAGAGCGGCTACAGCTCTGAATCCCCACACGGAATGCTCGTGGCGCCTGCGTTTTAAAGGCTCAGGTGGCTGCAGCCTTTCCGGGCATCACCTGACTGATGCAGAACAGTGGCGCTGCCTGTGTGGTCTCCCCCGTAGGTGAGTGGTTGGCATGTGTTTATTTGAACAGGCACAGGCTTTCGGTGCTGTAAAAAGAGCACCTGATGCACGTAGTTTAAAAAAAATCTAGTAATTGGGCCAAAGGCTAGTGTGTCCTTCACACATGCTTCTCTCCCAGGAGTGGGGAACAGGTGTGCTCCGGAGGGCGGGTCCTGGCTGCCCTCCAGTATGCAGGACTTGAGGTGACCTTGGAGCCAGGGGTCAAAGCCAGATATCCCACGTTGCATCACGCACACAGCCTGTGGTGGCCCTGGAGCACACTAGGTCTCTCACCACTCCCAACCCTGCTTAATCCATACGCTGCAGGCAACTTGGCTAAAAACTGGGGCTCCATGGCAAGCATGTCAAACTCCACCGGCCGCATGGTTGACATGCTTGCTCTATGGAGTACAAGTGTGATTCAGCCTTGGGAGTTTCAAGGCTTGGAAGGGGCGGGGCCTGTGGGACCCACCTCGGTTGCCGGCCAGGCAGTAGAGAGCCTTCCTGAGGGAGGAGGAGGGCCTGTGTGTTCCAGGCGGAGTGGTAGGCAGTGTCTGTGAGGGTTCCCAACAGGCCCTGGGCCAGTCATTTCTTTTTGGAACTCTTGACTCCAATCTGTATTAGCAAACTTGGTGGCTTAAAAAATAAATTTAATCTCTAACAGTTTTAAAGGCAGAGTCCAAAGTCCACCTAATGGAACTGGAGTCCAGGTGTCAACAGGGCCGCACTCCAGAGGCTCTGAGCGAGGGTCCTTCTGCCTCTTCAGCTTCAGGGACTCCTGGTGTCCTGGAGTGTGGCCACAGCACTTCAATCTCTGCCTCCACCTGCAGTCTGCCCCCTCCTAAAGATACCGTCTCCCCATCTGTTCCTTCATCACATCCGCAAAGTCCTTTTTTGCCATGTAAGCTTCAGCTTCCAGATTTCAGGCTCACAGGCTCCAGGAATCAGGACATGGATACCTTTTGGGGTGCAACTATGAAGCCCACCACCCCATCCAGGGGGGCTCTGCCCCAAGTGGGGAGGGAGGGTCCCTCTCTGGGATGGAAGGGTCTTGCCACTCTGTTGCCATGGAGTGTGTAGGGCTGCCTGGGGCTAGAGTTTGGGAGCAAGGGGGGCTTGAGAGCAGTAGTCGGTAGGGACCAAGGCCTAAGTCACAAAAGTGCCACAATCCGGCAAGCTGGTCATGAAGCAAGGGACACAGCGGAGATTAAAAACTTCATTTGGTAAATCAGCTTCACAAGACCAGAGCCTCTGAAGTAATGAAAACATGCTGATGGACGGCTCTGGCTGTCAGTGGGAATGCCGGCCAGCTCATGTGTCCCTTGCAAGGGCTGGTCCTCCAGCTGCCAGCAGCCCCACTGCAGTCTTGCAAAGGTTTGATCGCTGAATCTCCTGTCCTCAATCCCTGAGGCTGGGGTAGCTTTCTTTTCTCTCTCTTTTTAATCCTCACCCAAGGACATGCTTATTGACTTCAGAGAGAGGGGAAGGGAAAGACAGGAACATCACTGTGAGAGAGAACTGACCGTTTGCCTTCCGCATGTGCCCTGACCAGGGGTCAAACCAAAACCTTCTGGTATATGGGACGACGTTCTAACCAACTGAACCACACCTGTCAGGGCTGGGATGGCTCTAAGCAAATCAAAATCCAGATGTCAACCAAGCAAGACATGGGCCTAGATCACTTTCTTCCAGGAGTTTCTTTCCTGGACACACTCGCCAGACGTTGAGGGGAGCATGTGAGCAAAACTAGATGGGGCCTTGGTCCAGCACCACAGGGGTACAGCCCCTCCAGTTCTCAGCACATGGGACACAGGCACCTGTCTGTTGGCTCTCCTCTGAACCAATGCTACCCCTTCTGCTGGGGGGGCTCCCAGCTACAGTCTCGCCCTCTCCCCAGCACACGGGGGAAAAGGCCCCACTGGTACAAAGTGCCAAGCTCTGTTGCCATGTTGGTTGCCCTCATAGAGTTGGCCTGTGAGAGGCAGCACAGCCTGGGGAAGAGCCCAGCCCAGGGGGGTCAGGGATTTGGGGCCTGGAACAGGCTCACCCAGCGCACCTTCAACTACGTTGAGCCTCAATAATCATCTGTAAAGGGATAAAACGATTGCTTTCCTCTTAGGATTATTTTAAGTATCAATGGATATAACATCACTCCACAGACGAATCATTTCACATCTCCTTAAAAAATCCATCCATCCCTAAGAACACAACCCTCTCAGAGTGTCTTTCCAGCACTCTTTTACCTTCCTCTCATGGATCTTTTCTCTTTCTACCAGTCAGCCGTTGCTGCCTAACAAGCAACCCCAAAGTTCAATGTGTACAACAATAGGCAACTTTTTCTCACTCACAGGCCACAGATCAGCTGGGATGGCTCTGGACCACTTCTGGGGCAAGGCCAAAGTGGCTGCAGCTACCAGAGCATGCTCACCTAACAGTTCCCACAGGGGTAAAGAAGCATGATGCCTCAGCTTGGAATTTGCACATTGTCATTTCTTCCTACATTTTCTTGGTCTTAACCAGCAACAGGGCCAAGCCCAACACCAATGGCAGGAGTTGGGGCTACACTCCACCTGCACCGGGTCCCACACTGAAAACGCAGGAGGGTGCCAGGGAAGGAAAGGGTGCTTCTGGCATTTTTCAAAGTCACATCAGCAGGGAAAAGGGCACTGACAACAGACCACTTTCTCTGGTCTGGGTGAGCTATTTTGACATTAACCCTGAGAGTCGGCCACCTTTTTGGTTGACAGGCCCCAGTACAGGTGGGGAAACGGCATATCACAGTGAAGCTGGAGCCAAGTCTTGAGCTCTGAAGTGGCTGAAATCAAAGGATGAAGAAAAGCATCCTCTAAGCACTGGGGCTGGTTGTCAGGCGTGACAAGATCTAGTGACCATCCCTGCGCTGTGGGGGCCAGGGTGATGAGCTGTGTGGCCCAGGGGAGAGGGACAGGCACAGCCAGAGGGAAGCGGGTGGGGCCCAGAGCTCTGGTTCCCAAAAGTGTGTGAGGCAGCCTTAGCCCCAGTGAACTCTGGCTCCATAGGCTCCATTCTACTTCTGAGAGGGATAGTGATTCTCAACATGATTGGACACCTCATCATTTCAACATAACTGACTACATCCCTTTCCCTGATTTCATGTTTCTGCAAAACTAGGTTTCTGGCAGTTATTGAAAAGCAAATACTGTGTGAAATCATTGTAGAACAGGCAAAAGAGTAGCCATGTTTAATATGATACAAGATTCAAGAAAAATCTGACAGGCATAGTTGTGGCTACTTACAAAATGAAATGAAAAAATTTTTTTCTTTAAATTTGTATTACTTTTCCAAATGTCTACTGTAAATAGCTAGGATATAAGCACTATGTTGTTTGGACTTACTTAATAAGTAAAACTTAGGTATTTCTTTAGGCCTAGGGTCCCTTAAAATATTGAACTTTAAGTAGAGGTGCTCTCAACTAAGAATGTTTGGGATTTAACATACTTAAGGGTGTGCATACTGACATTACTAAATCATATATCTTACTATACTGATGTACTTTCTTTTATAGCCTTCATTATTTACAACATGCTAAATATCTTGTTTTCAAGTCTATGAACTGTTAATGAGATGAATAATTTCAAGTGTACAAATTTTAATAGATTAAACATCTCAATTATATTTATGCATGCAAGTTCGTACTGATGTAAAAAACTCACCAATCACCAACGGAGCAAACCTGTTATTCTGCAAACTGGCAAACGAAGTCAGAGAATGTACATGGCACTCCTGAGTCACACTTCTCTTTACGGAGCACTACAGCCTGCAGTGAGGAAGGATGCTAGAATTTCAGGCTCCACAATTTGCAACCCTTCATGGAGGCTCTGATTATCATTGGCTACAACCAGCTTCCAGACCAGAGACTACAACAGCACATAGGAAGAAACTTGCGGAGGCCATCTTGAATCTGATCAAACTCTAGGGGCAGAAGTTCATGGTCACCAGCATTTTGGGTACACAGCACAATCCATCCTGAGGGAAACTCAGGACCAAGGGTGGTCTCACCAATACATTTCAAGGGGAAAAAAGAGAAGAAAGAAAGGAGAAACTAACAGATTTAAAAGAAACTTGAAATATATCACTAAATGCAATTATGTCATCCTTTTCAGGATCTTATAAAACAATATCTTTGACCAGTTTAAAAAAAACAAATCACTTAAGATGTAATCAGGGAAATTAAAACACTGATTGCTAAGTAATGAAATTATTAGATTGTTGGGTTTGGTAATGTCACTCTGGTTATGTTTTCAATAATCCTTAGTTTCAAAGTCACACTGAAACATTTAAGGATAAAATGATACAATGTCTGGGATTTGCTTCAAAATGTTGGCCCTAAAGCTGGATAGTGAGTACATGAAGGTTCATTATATTAGTGTCTATTTTTTTAAAATATATTTTATTGATTTTTTACAGAGAGGAAGGGAGAGATATAGAGAGCTAGAAACGTCAATGAGAGAGAAACATCGACCAGCTGCCTCTTGCACACCCCCCACTGGGGATGTGCCCGCAACCCAGGTACATGCCCTTGACCGGAATCGAACCTGGGACTTTCAGTCCGCAGACCGACGCTCTACCACTGAGCCAAACCGGTTTCGGCTAGTGTCTATTTTTAAATATTTCGAAATTTTTAATTAAAAAAAAAGTTGACTCAAAAATTTCACAAGCTATGCAACTGAATACAATGCATCATTAGAAATGATAACAAAAAGTTAATATCAAAAACGAAATAACTCAAAACGCTTTAAATATCCAGTTTTGCAAGTTAGAAAGAGCGTCTGGTCACTGCGAGGCGCAAGGCTGGGCTCAGGAGCAGGGAAGGCGAGCAGGTTGGCTTGTGGGAAAGGAAGAAGGTGGGCAGAGCAAAGGGATAATGAGGTGAGGAGAACTGTAGCTTTAGGACAGAAATTGGTGGCAAAATGGATGTGGAGGACAAGAAAGATTTCAAATTGTCAGACATTGTGGGTTGATAGACAATGATCAGCTGCCACGTCCTGAGGATCAGTGTTTTCCCACCTGCTCAGGAAGTACCCTGACTCGCCTGCAGCGGGGACATCTCCACTCAACTCCAGCGTGCTTAGCCGACCTGCCGCAGCAGGACCAGACTTCAGACTGAATCTCTGGTTGCACTCACACCATGGCCCAGCCTCCATCCAGATGCTCACATACCCAAATCTGGGTCCCCCCTTTCCCTCAGCTCTGTCCCAAATGCATCCCCAGCCTGCACTCCTCCGGTTCTGCAGCCACCACACTGGTCCTTCCACACACCTGGTGAACGTGTAACCAGATCATGTTGTTCCCCTGCTTACAAACCATCATTGGTTTCTCATTGTCCTTCCGATGATAGATGGTGCTCACCAAGACCGGAGTGATTCTGGCTCAGGGCCTCCACTCTGCCTGGAGGGCCAGGGCCACTCTGCCATCCCCATTTCAGCTCAAATGTCACTTGTTCAGGGAGGCTGTTCTCTTCCCATCCACATGCTCCCAGTGTCACTTTTCATGACCCTTATCACTTTTCTTTGTTTTAATGTGTTTGCTCTCATTTATCCACGTAAGGCCTCACTCAGCACACTGGCCTCTGGACCCGATAGAACAGGAGCCCCACAGGAGCAGAGCCCCGGCCCACGCCGTCCACGCCTGAAACTGCCTACAACGCAGGAGGCGCTCCACGGACCACGCTGGATGCAGTGGGGTATGCACTTGCCTCCTGCTCCCCACCTTCCTGGGCAGCCCTCCTGGCTACAGAGAGCGAACTTCCCTTCCGCGTGGCCTCCTCAGGGACACAGCACGGCCTCCTGTCCTGAAGCGTGAGGGACACCGCGAGGCCTCCACGGGGCCTCTGGGCACCCGGCCTGAACTGACCAGAAGCTCCCAGGAGCTGACGGCTACTGTGGCCCCACAAGCAAGCCCCCTTCGGTCAGCCTCCACCCAGGATCACTCCTTCCCCTCACAGTCATGTTTGCCAACGGACAGCATTTTAGAGGGCAAAGGGGCTTGCATCCTTTACTATAGATAAAGGGCTGACCTGTTTGCTGTGACATTGCTTTAACCCTGTCAATCAACCTGTTCGGGTCAGCAGTCCTCTCAACTGAGCACACTGGCCTTGGTCCAGCCACAAGTCACCAACCCTCATTATAAAGAAACCATTAACCCAGAATGGAAATTTTCTCAGAACAGACATCTGAACTGCTACAATCCAAGACAGCTTCACAGTCACGCTCAGCAGCAGCCCCTGCTTCCTCACCCTGCCATGCCTATGCTCAGAACGTCAGTGGAACAGGCGGCACTGTTCCACAGGACGCGAGGCCTGAACAACAACGTATGCCTCCCCTTTGCAAGTCACAGACAAGCCTCTATTGGTTCCCCAATCACCCTGCCCCTCGATGCTCCTTTTCTGTGCTCTGCATTCAGGAGAGAAGCAGGGGTCTTTCTCAGGTTATGTTGGAGAAGTCAATACACCTTTAGATTTAGTCCATGAGCACAAACATACTCGTATTCCTAATAATAATCCCAAGGCTCTTAAAGATTTTCATTCGCCGCAGAACGCTACTGATTGGCCTCCCAGTGTGCTAGCCATGTTCCCAACAAGGCTGCCCTGGAAACGTTCTCCAAGTTCCCAGGCGCCTCCCCTCCGCCCCGTCTCTCCCACAAAAAAGCTTCTCACAGCACCCCCTTTCCTTCCAAGGCTGAAGCTCTACAGAAGGAAAAGCAGGAGCCAACTGTACTTCTCTGGCCTCCTTCCTCCAGGAATCTTGGCCCTCAGGCCCTGATTCCTCACATGCCCAGATTCCCGGCTTGGTCTTCCCAGCCCTGCACAACTGTGCAGAGCTCCTCTAGCTTCTCTGCCTCTTGGCGGCCACCTTACCCAGCCCCGAGGGGAAAAGCCAGTGCAAGAAGCAGGGCTTACCTCCTTGAGCTCCCCTCTGAGTCGTGGCTGCTGGAGTGACTGCAGACCTTCAAGCTGATGCCTTCTGAGTTGTGGCCATTGAGTCCTCAGCAGGCAGTGGTCCACTGCAAGCTACTCCTCGGCCAGAAGCAGGTGTTCATTACGTGGAAGGAATCACTAAACTGGAGAGTTGGAACGGATGTGGGTTAATAACTAGGCAAGCTGGTCCAACTAGCACAGGCCACGTGGCCATCTCTGAGCTACAATGTCCCATATGGAGGTAAGCCAGTGGGAAGCCAGATGGGACTCAGCCCATTCCCCTCTGCCCAACCAAGAAGCTCCAGGATCGAAGGTCTCTGTATGCTCATATGAACCCTATGGTATTTGTCCTCATGAGCCAGTCCTAAAAGTGAGATGGCACAGCACCAAGGCATGACAATTCAATATATCAGAAGTTCATCTCACAGCAGGAGCATTCATCCTCAGCTCAGGACTATTAACTCACTCGTGGGGGAGAAGCCTGGGTGCCTGTGACTGCCAGCACTAGGGCTGCATCCTTTCTGGGGACTCTGCCTCCTCAGCCAAATGATCAATGATGGCTTCAGATGGGTAATGATGGTTTCTGAGAACTGCACCCTCTTCAGCTATGCTGGTTGTCTCACTTAACTGTGAGCATCTCACACAGGGGAGCTAGCTTGGTCCTCTCTGATGAATAACTGAAAGGACAGGCTTCTGACATGGGCCATTCTCCTCAGCCTCCATGTCCCAAATCCTGATAGGACAGAGGCATGAGAGATAAGGAAGCACCAAAGTTACAGCTCCCGATGAGAAGGGAGGAGGAGCTCCATGGACGAAGGAGCCTTCAGAGCAATACTCAGTGAGGCCTGGCCAGAAAGCAGAGCTCAAAACGACTCTGCTCTGTCATAGGCTTCTCTCCGCTGAGAGAAGGGGACCACCTGTGCCCAAGCACAGTAGGACATGAGGGCAAATGGCCCCAGGGCCTGACACATGTGCTGCCACACAACATAGAGGCCACCACAGCTCTCACCGCAGAACCTCACGCCTGAGTCCCAAAAGAGGGCATCTTTTCCAACTCTGCCACTCCTTTCTGGATGAGCCAGCTAGGAAAGGCTGCTCCTGCTGTCTTCCCCACATCCTTAGTCACCATGTCCACCATTCCCCAGCTCTCTGCCCACTTTCCATGCTCTGAGTATTGCACCTCCGAGTGCAGGACAGAGGTGTGTGGCTCTACCAGTGGGGAGGACACGCCCCTGGTGCTTCTCCCTGCACCACCATGGGCCACCATAAGCTGTAATAGTCCTTCAGCTAAATTCTTCTCTTGGGGGACGGGACATGCACAGTGAGAGCTTGTGGGGGGCTCAGGTGTATGAGGAGAAAGGCTTCTACTGAACCATCCTCACCAGTGCCTCAGCCTTCCCCTAACTGCCCTCCAAACAGCCACCTTGTCAGGCCTGCCATCAGTGAAAGACACTGCGCTTGTCCTACCTGCTTATGCGGGGCCCCTGATGGTGGCACACACAGGGCCTTGCCTCCATTCTCCACCCAGAGGCCTGGCACTGCCCCAGGGAGGGGCCTGAGATGCACAGAGTCCCAGCTGTGGAAACGAGAAGGTGCCCGTAGGAGACCAGGAAAGGCAGCTACAGACTTTGACCTCCTGGGGAATTTGACCTCCTGGGGAGCAGCCCTGGTTCTCACCCCACTTTTACACTCCACTCACCTTGTGAGGCTGACTTTCTAGACTCTGGGAGGCCCACGTAAAAGCACAGCTGCCCCAAGCATGGAGGTGTAGGAGGGCAGCACTGGCCACCACCAGCCACTTCAACCCAGCTGTAGCCATGGACAGAGAAGCAGAGATGGCCGCAGGAAGCCAGGGATGAGTCCAACTCAGTGCTCTCCAACCTGGTCCTCTGACCAAGGCAGAATGGCCAGGAGTAGGCGTCTTTTTGGTCCAGTTTCCCCGTCATCTGGAGACTCCTGGAGCCATGGTGGCCATGGAGGCAGCGCGGAGGGAGGTTCTGTCTGCCAGTTCATGGTGATCTGTTCCTTTCCTCACTTGGGCTCCTGTGAGAAGGCTGTAATCCACAGGTACCTCAGCCCACCAATGATAGCCATGGAAGCTGGTAAAACATGAGCTTGCTGTGCCATCCTGCTGTTCCCATTCATACAGTGACTGGTTAATAAAAGAAAAAAGGGAGTGTTAATGTCAGTCATATTAGCCAGAAGGCACCACCTGTTCTAAAATATCATCGAACTCCTGACAGGCTGTTCCATTTTTTGATCATTTGTTTATGACCTCATTTTATTTTTTAAAATACATTTTTATTGATTTCAGAGAGGAAGGGAGAGGACGAGAGAGACAGAAACATCAATGATGAGAGAGAACGATTGATCGCTGCTTCCCACACCCCACACTGAGGATGTGCCTCAACCAGGAATCAAACTGTGACCTCCTGGTCCATAGGTCAACGATCAACCACCGAGCCATGCCAGCCAGGTATGAATTCATTTTAGAGTAAAAGGGACCCTGAACAATGGTAAAACTGGACAAGAAATGATATGTGTTCTTAGTCCCTGAACACCAGTGCAGAACAGCGATTCCCCAAAAGAAAGGGAACCGCAGACTGAGCCCTATGACTGTCCCAGCTACGGCCGAGGTGGTTCCCAGGCTACAGCGTAAGGAGGAAAAAGCCAGACCCAGCCATCTCCTGGAAGGAGAGGTAGGAGGTCACGGAGGCCCAGTAGCTAGAATGTATGAGACAGAGTATTAGGGGATGGGGATGCACAGACAACAGAGCTCCAGGATCTACAGAGGGTGCCTTGAGTCTTCAGCTGAGGACAGGTCTGCACTTGTGTGAGAGAAATCACGCACGGGGACCAGGCAAGAATCCATGGAAATGAGCAGACAGAAAATTGCCAGAGCTCATAGAGCGATGGGAATCTTTTGTGTTCCCACAAGCCATGTGGAAAGTCCTCCTAATTCACAGGGTGTTGGGTAGAATCCTTAGAAGGGCATCCCCCTTCACAATGGGGCTCAATCAACCATAGACCGAGGGCAGCTCTGGACCCACCCTAACAAAGCTCACAAGCAAGCCTGTAAGGACCAACTGATGCCAAGGAACTGAACTGCACGCCAGACCAAATTTCAAACTATTTGAAGAAATAACAAAACCCAGCAACCCAGCAACTAACAACATAAGTTCACAGTATCCAGTATTCCACAATAAAATGGCCATGTCTATCAGGGCTCAGCCAGGCCACAGAAATCACACAGTATTTTAAACAATGGAAGTTAATATAAAGAATTATTGCCGAAACCGGTTTGGCTCAGTGGATAGAGCGTTGGCCTGTGGACTGAAAGTCCCAGGTTCGATTCCGGTCAAGGACATGTACACTGGTTGAGGGCACATCCTCGGTAGGTGTGCAGGAGGCAGCTGGTAGATGTTTCTCTCTCATTGATGTTTCTAGCTCTCTGTCCCTCTCCCTTTTTCTCTGTAAAAAATCAATAAAATATATATATATATTTTAAAAGAATTATTAACTATTTATAGAGAATTAACTAAAAGGGGACAAAAGAGAACTCTACAGAATATCCTAGGGCCATGGTTGGCAAACTGCAGCTCCACTAGCCGTATGCGGCGCTTTGGCCCCTTGAGTTGGCTCTTCCACAAAATACCATGGCCTGGGCGAGTCTATTTAAAAAAAAAAATGTATTTTTAAAAAAAAAAAATATATATATTTAAATATATTTTGAAGAAGTGGCATTAGAAGAAGTTTAAGTTTAAAAAATTTGGCTCTCAAAAGAAATTTCAATCATTGTACTATTGATATTAGGCTCTGTTGACTAATGAGTTTGCCGACCACTGGCCTAGGGTGAAGAGAGCTACCCAAGGGAAGGATTCCAACCTGGGAGATGGGTGGTCACAGCCCACTGGATGGAAATTCAATGGCTCTCCAAAACCAAGGCCGAGGGGTAACCACCACCTGCTAGGATGCTAACAAAATTAGCTGGGAAGCTGTCTGCAAAGAGTGCTAGGATGCCACTAGGGTGGAGGTACTGATGACCTCACCAGAAAGCTACCAGGAGGCCAGCTGGGGTTTCCATGGAACTTGCCTGGCAGTGCCTGTCCCCTTCCAGATATATAAGTAACCTCACCGCTGGCAGCTGTGAAAGTGCTGCTGAATTTGTAGCTAGGAAGCTGCCAGAGAAAAGTGCCATGGAAACACCGGAGTGAGCAGCCCTATGTGTTCCAATGTTAGTTCACATCACAGAACAGTAACAAGCAAAGCACACAGAACCAGGAAAAGAGGACTTTTCCCTTCCAGCACCCTCCACTGACAGATTAGCACCAGTCTAGCTGACAAAGGAGAAATGTTCTAGTATTACAAGTAGGCAATGGAGGATGGTTTGATAACTACTATGTCAGATATGCAAAAAAGATAAAATGTGAACCATGAGTATAAGAAAATCAATGAATAGGAACTGACCTAAAACTGACAGAAATAGAGGAACCAGCAGACAAGGGCAATAAAACAGATATTATACTACATATGCTTCATGTATTAGGAAGGTAGAGCTTGATGAAATCATGGAAGGTATAAACCCAAACCTTAGAACGTCTGCAGATGAAATAAACAATATCTGAAATGAAAACATACACATTATCAGATTAACATTAAACACTGAAAAAGAAAAGATCAGAGTTCAAAGACATGGAAAATGAAACTATTCAAATAAAGCACAGAGAAGGTGTGGGAGCAAAGCACCAGATATTATCAAGTAATCCAATATGCATGAAACTAGAGTCCCAGAAGAAGAGCAATAGACAGAAACAATGTCTGAAAAAAATAAGAAAAATTTCCTAAATATGATGGAAACTACATATTCATAGATTTAAGAGGATTAATAAAACTCAAGCAGAAAAAAAAAACCCTCAAGAAATCAATACTAAGAGGGCAGAAGTGGACTGGAAGAGGTCAATGGGGGGGAAAGGAGACTTACGTAATACTTTCAACAATAAAGAATTTTTAAAAATATTTTTTAAAAATAAATCAGCCCTAGCCGGTTTGGTTCAGTGGCTAAAGCATTGGCCTGAGAACTGAAGGGTCCCAGGTTCGATTCTGGTCAAGGGCACATCCCCAGTGGGGGGCATGCAGGAGGCAGCTGATCGATGTTTCTCTCTCATCAATGTTTCTAACTCTATCCTTTCCCTTCCTCTCTGTAAAAAAAATAAATAAATAAATAAAATAAGAATCAATAAAATAAATAAATAAATAAATAAATAAATAAATAAATAAATAAATCCCTGGCTGGTTTGGCTAAGTGGATTGAGCGTCAGCCTGCAGACTAGAGGGTCCCATTGAGGGTCAGGTTACGGGCTTGATCCTCAGTAGGGGGCATGCAGGAGGCAGCCAATCAATGGTTCTCTCTCATCATTGATGTTTCTATCTCTCCTTCTCCCTTCCTCTCTGAAATCAATAAAAATATTAAAAATAGCCCTAACCAGTTTGGTTCAGTGGATGGAGCATCGACCTGTGGACTGAAGGGTCCCAGGCTTGATTCTGGTCAAGGGCAGGTACCTTGGTTGTGGGCACATCCCCAGTGGGGGTGGAGCAAGAGGCAGCTGATCGATGATTCTCTCTCATCGATGTTTCTAACTCTCTATTCCCTAAAAAAAAAAAACCTACAACCAAGATTACTCTACCCAGCAAAGCTATCATTCAGAATTGAAGGTTAGATAAAGAACTTCACAGACAAGAAAAAGTTAAAGGAGTTCATCAACACCAAACCAGAATTACATGAAATGCTGAAGGGTATTCTTTAAGGAGAGGAAGAAGAAAAAAGTAAAGGTAAAAATTATGAACAACAAAAAGACATAAATACATATCTACCAACAAGTGAACCTAAAAATCAAGTGAGCTGGGACAGGTTTGGCTCAGTGGATAGAGCGTTGGCCTGAGGACTGAAAGGTCCCAGGTTCGATTCCAGTGAAGGGCATGTACCTTGGTTGTGGACACATCCCCAGTGGGGAGTGTGCAAGAGGCAGCTGGTAGACGTTTCTTTCTCATCGACGTTTCTAACTCTCTGTCCCTCTCAATTCCTCTCTGTGTAAAATCAATAAAATATATATACATATATATACATATATATATATACGCATACACACACACACACACACACACACACATATATATATATATATAAGTATATATTGTATATAAGTCAAGTGAATAAAAAATCTGAAGAACAGCCAAAACCAGTTTGGCTCGGTGGATAGAGCATCGGCCTGCAGACTGAAAGGTCCCAGGTTCGATTCCGGTCAAGGGCATGTACCTTGGTTGTGAGCACATTTCCCAGTTAGGGGGTGTGCAAGAGGCAGTTGATTGATGATTCTCTCTAATAGATGTTTTTAATTCTCTATCCCTCTCTCTTCCTCTCTGTAAAAAATCAATAAAATATATATTTTTTAAAAAATCTGAAGAACAAAATGGACTAGTGAATATAATAAAATCAGGGACATAGAAAGGGATTGGGCTAACAATTCTCAGGGGGAAGGGAGTTTGAGGGATGAGGAAAGAGACTGGACAAAAATCTTACACCTATGGATGAAGACAGGGACGGGGGGTAAGGGCATGGGGTGGAGTTGGGGATCAGGTGGAGGGGAGCTATGGGAGAAGAGGGGGGAAAGAGGAACACCTGTAATAATCTGAACAAAAAAGATTTATTATAAAAGAAAATAAAAAAATAAAAATAAAAGAAATCTTAAAAGCAGCCAGGCTAAAAAAGCACATTATGTACTGACTAGAGGCCCGTTGCAAGAAGATGAATTGGGCTTCCTGCTGCCCGAGTGAAGCTGCCTCGCTACCCCTCCCGTCTCCTATGCCTCGCTCCCTTCTCCACAGATTCACTCCCATCGGCAGCACTTGGCTTCCTTCTATGCTATCTTCAGTCTTCACTCTGTGCCTGTGTATGCAAATCAACCCCCATCTTTGTTGGGTTGCTTTGCATACTCACTCTGTTTGGTTGGTGGGTGTAGTGGAGGGATGGTCAATTTGCATGTTTCTCTTTTATTAGTGTAGATAAATAAGAACAAGAGACTTCTGCTTTAATAAAGAGGACAATGGAATGTCACCTTTATTTTTTAAATTTCATACTAGGGTTGTGCCATACTT